ATCACAACTTTTAAAGCCCAAAAAATAGGGCTTTACGTTTTTGACTTGTTACAGCAAGAAAAAAAAAAAATTTGGGTTGTAACTTTGAAAAAAAAAACTACATCATGATTGGTAAGAATAATACAAAATCTGTAGTTTTAAGAAATAAAGCTACAACTTGATTGGTAAGGATATGATGATTTTTGAAAAAATAAGACTGTAAGATGGACTTAAAGACCAACCAATCACCCACAAAATGTGGATGTCTCTAAATAAAAAAATATTAAAAACACACTCTCTCTTCCTTTTATTCAACTTTATACCTTCTCTTTTATCATTTTACTCAACTTTTATTAATTTTATATTTAAACACACTCCAACTAAAAGAAACCCTCTCTCTAAAAGTGTCTTCCTATACAAAGAAATTTTCTCTCCAAATATCCACTATCTCCTCTTTTTACTCAAATTTTATTAATTTTATATTTCAATACACCCTATTATTCAACCAAAAACACTCTTTTTCTTTCTTTTACTCGACTTTTAATAATTTTATATTTAAAGACACATACAAAATGTCTCTAATGCAGATGTTCTAATGGCTTTAGAACTATAGTCCCCTTGTCACATTTACTATATTACCCCTATCTATAATGGCTGAAAAATCTCCATTGTTAGGTAAAGTGTAATACTACTAGTGTATTAACTTAAGCTTTTATTAGTAACAAACTAACAGCATAGTATGTAATGATGTGCATTGTAATTAATAATACATCTAACTTAAAATTCTTATGCTAAATACAAAGTTGAACAATTTTTGGGTTAATTGAAAAGTGTTTAGGGGCAGAAGAGGAATTATGAATGGAAAAAGGATGTGGCAGACATAAGTGTCGTTACAAGTCAAACCCGCGCGACCGTAAAAGTCATAACTCGTTTTCTCTTATTACTTTAAAATTAAATAATACAGTACCTGCCTGTTATATATATTAGGGTTGGAGTCGCTTGGGCAAGTTTGATTGCTTGATTTTTTGTGCTGTCATGTATAGTGTATAACGGTAAGTATTTATGTTAGTATATAAGTATTTTTTTTATATTTGTTAACACATTCTAATATTTATTTAAAATTTTATATCATATCGTTAATTATAATCGTGCAACGCATAGATTAATATATTTACTTTTATCATTTTTTTTGTAAGATATTAATATATAGAAAGTTAATTTATACATAATCTTTTTTTTTACGTTTTGTTAAACACTTTAAAAATATATTTTTTAGACTTTTTTGAGTTAAAAGCATTGGTAGAACTACGTATATCTTTACATAAAGATCATATATCATTGTCCATATATTTTGTTCTACAATTTATGAATAATGTCACCATTAATTTTAATTTTTTACTTTATATGTATCAAAACTTAAAATTTTTTATAGGGAAAATTGCAAAAATACTATTTTTGGTATGTCACTAATACAACATAGTTAATCCAAATATAAATGATATAATGAGTAAATAATTTTGAAAAAATAGTATTTTTGCAAAGATTTTAAAAAAGTGATATTTTTGAAAAATATCATTTATAAAAAATTATCATTTTTATATTTATTTTAAATTATGGTATTACAACGTTTTCAATATTTTTTTTTTATAATTAAAAAAAAACTCAAATATAACATTTTGAATAAAATCTTACATTTCAAAATTTCACCTTATTTTCTCGTGAAATTGTTTAATATCCTCTTTTTGAATAAAATGTTTTTCTCAATAAAAATTAGTTTCTCAAATTTTCTTTTAGCGAAATCATATATCTTTTTTTTTTTAACCTTCAACCTCCTGACAATCGGTTGAAACACAATTATGATGATTTAATAAATAACAATTTTTTTTTCTGTTTCATTTACATTTTTATATATAAACTCTTAATATTTTGATCACTTTCTAATGAACAACAATATAAATAAAATATATTCATTATTGTAATTTTTGTTAGAAAATAAAATACTCAAATAATCCTAAAATATGGTTCACCGTGATACATGAGTTATACAATTTTATTAAACTTAAAGACAAAAATTTGATTTAACCATTTACAATTTTATACTACTTTTAATCATTCATTTACTTATCTTGAGTAGAATATAACTCGCGCGATGTGCGATTTTTTTTACACCAATTTATACCTCTTATATCTTTTAAATATATAACACTTTAAATTTTTCTTTCATACTTCCATAATATTCAAATATGACATTATGAACAAAATCGGATATTCCAAATTTTCATCTTATTATCTCATCTTTAATAATATATATTATTTCTCTTTAGATCAACATCTCTTAACAATCATTTGACACTCATATTATTTATAGATTTTTTTCTTTGATGTCG